TCCCCACCCCCACCTCCAAACACGAGAATGCAGCCATCAGCGGTGGTGCGTGTTTCCTCTGATTTTCCTTGATCTCTAGGTGAATTCTCTAACACACACCCCTCTCCCCAGACACACTGAAGATCTGAGAGTCTCTGTGCTAAACACTCGACACAATAGGCATTTGTCCTCACAGTGCCTCAGTGCATACTCACCCCCATTTCATTGATGAGGAAACAGACTCAGAGGAGGCCCGTGACTTGCTCAAGGTCAGAGAGCCGGGCAAAGGTGGAGCCAGGATTCCAGTCCAGACAGTCTGATTTCAGAACCCTCTAGCTGAACCCCACCTCATACCAAAAACTGTTCTCTGGGTTCCAGAATGAGTTGGACAAAGCTTTCGCCTTACAGGGGTTCCTGAGTCCAGTGGAATAGGGGAGACAGACATGTGAACAGATCATTTCAATTCACTCATTCAACAATTATTTATCAAACTTCTGCTCTGCTCTAGGCATTAATGATGCAAAGAAAAGTAAGCAGGGTATTCCTACTGCAGTTCACAGCCTCGCGGGTGAGACAAGACTAGCAAACAGGCAAGGGCGAAAGTGTGATCCATGCTCCCACAGGGGAAGTACGGTGAGAATGAGAGCCCCTAATCCAGCCCCCACCCACTGAAGTGGTTCCCAGGCAGTCAGAAAGCCAACTTGCCATTTTAAAATAACGGCAGGAGTCTGGGTGGAGAAGGACTGGTGGTGAGCCAGCCAGGAACCCATGCAATAGTCCAGGAGAGAGGGCAAGGGCTGGACGCATCAGCACCAGTTCTCACAGGCTCCCTTCAGGGGCCTCCCGTCGGAGGCAGAGAGCAAGAAAAACCTGATGCCCAAATTTGTTGATAGGCAGCTCTGCACCAAGTGCATCCATTCCCTTGGTACAGGGGCAGTAGGCTAGTCAGAGAGGCTGGGTGGAAGGGGGTCCTCTCATTTTCCTCCTCCAGCCACCCCCCTACTCCAGCCATGTGGAAACCCTGTTTTAGAGCAACATCAGAGTGACTGACAGAAGAGGAAGCTGGGGCCTGGAAGCAGGAGGAAGAGCTTCCATCCAGCTTATCACACCGACAAGCGGTGATAAGAGGGAGGGAGAGTTAGCGCCTCTCCCTAGGAAGATCCGCAGAGGGGTCTTGGCTTTGCTCTGGGCTGAGGCAGCACTTCTTTTTTTTCTTTTTAAATATATCTTCATTGATTTCAGAGAGAGGAAAGGAGGGAGAGAGAGAGAGAGAGAGAAACATCAATGATGAGAGAGTCATTGATCGGCTGCCTCCTGCACGCCCCCAACTGGGGATCGAGCCCAAAACCCAAGCATGTGCCCTGACCAGGAATCGAACCCCGATCGCCTGGATCCTAGGTCGATGCTCAACCGCTGAGCCACGCCCGGCCGGGCAAGGCAGCACTTCTATTCCTATCAGCACGCAAAGGGAGGGCATCCTTGGAACTTATAGCACCCAGTTCCCCTCTGGTTCAGTCACAGACAGAGCCATCGTGGCAGGATGACTGTCTTAAAGCTGAGATTGGACTCAGTGTCTTTAAAAAAAATTATTGTGGTAAAATAGACATAGCATATTTTAACCATTTTAAGTGTACGATCCAGTGGCATTAAGCACATTCACAGTGTCGCACAACCATCACCACTATCCTTTTTCCAGAACTTTTTATTTTCATCACCCCAAACAAAAACTCTATAGCTAAAACACTAATTCCCTATCCTGCTCCCTCCCCCCAGCCCCTGGCAACCTCTGTTATAGTTCCTGTCTCTATGAATTTACCTATTCTAGGTACCTCATAAGTGGAATCATATTTGTGCTTTGGCCACTGGCTTATTTTACTTAGCATAACGTTCTCAAGGTTCATCCATGTGGCAGCATGTGGTAGAATTTCCTTTTTTTCTAAGGCTAAATGATATTCCATCATATGGATATACCGCATTGTGTTTATCCACTCATCTGTTGATGGACATTTGGGTTATTTCCACCTATTGACATCTGTGAATGATGCTGTTATGAATATTAGTGGGAAAGTATCTGTCTGTGGGCTCTGTCATCATCCTCTCAGCGATCACAAGAGAGATTAAAGTTAGATTTAAGAAGGGCTTCCTGGTTTCTTACTACCAGTGGCCAAAGCAGCAGTATCTCCCTCTTTGGATAGTTTTGATAACCAGAGTTTCCTCTGCCTCCCCTAACCCCACCCCTAGACAGGGATAATGCCTGGAATGGCTGCACTGAAATAGGAAAGAGGCTTTATAGGGGTCACTCTGGGGCCATGGTTCTATATGGTTTATTTTTAGGAGCTGGGTGGTGGGGGTTTCTAGTCTTCTCTTGGGTATGTTTGTCATCACTCCCCACCCCAAACCCAACTTTCTCCTTTCCCTGGCAACATCCAGGCTGTCTCCCTTTTTCTCTCCCAGGCTAAATTGGGAGTGTGAAGCTGCTCTTCCTCCCAATTTAGCTTTTGAATTAAAGTGAGAACTGAATGTGGCTGGAAAGCTGACTCCCATCTGTGTGTGAGAGAGAGAGAGAGAGAAAAGGAGAGCAAGTGGGCCTGAGCACATGCCGGGCAATCAGAGGGAGGGGGCTGATCTGGGCAGCAGCTGTACCATCCTCAGGTGTAGGCAAACAGCTCAGCAGAGGGATTCTGAGGTTTGAAGGTTGGTGTTTTTCCAGGAGTGCTGCAGGGACATCATTCAAACATTCCACAAAAATGTGCCGAGTGCTTACTGTATGCCAGGCTCCATACCAGATGCTGGGGAAATAGTGGGGAACCAGGTAGGCCCATGGCCTACTACATGGCTTTCAGTGTGGTGGGGAAACAGGCAAGGACCAAACAGGGTCCATCAGGGAGGAAGAGCAGGATGCCACAGGGGCCTGGAGGGAGTGGAGTGGGGGAGTCCCAACTAAGCTGAGACTTGAAGCTCATGCAGGACTTGACCATGCTGAAGCAGGAAAACAAGAGTGCTTGTGCAGATGGCACTGTGCATGCAAAGATTTGAGTAGGCCAGGCTTCTGCAAAGGGCACTGGCATCGGGCAAGGTGAGCTCGAGAGGGCTCAAAAGTGTTCACCTCCTTCTCTTTCCTCCCCATCTTCCAGGGAAAACAAAACCAGATGAGAGTGATCTAGGCCAGAGAAGTCTGGGAGCTCTAAGTCCCTTCTGCTCGAGGTGGGGCAGGGAAGTTGCAGGTCTCCTTCTGAGTCACCACTCAGGAAGTTGGACCTGGCAGGTCCAAGATGGACATGAAACAGAGGAAATGGGATCTCAGTCGCATCACAGGAGGCACTGGTGGTGTCAAGGAGGGTCTCCGCTTGGTTTAGCTTACCCCATCCTTCCCTGGGGGCTGGCTGAGTGGGTCTCTGGGGGACCTTTCCTCTTCTTACTTGATAGAAGTGAATCATGATTCTGGCTAAGATGGGAACAGGTTGAAATCTTGGCAAAGAAAGACCTTCTGTTGGCAGAGACAGGGAAGAGCCCTCTGGGGGGCCATGCATTTCTCTGTCAGCTCTCGAGTTCCCCAATGACAGGCACAGCTAAGGGATCCTGGTGTAAAACTCGCCATCAATATTTCAGGCAGCATTACTTATTGATCACTCATCTGGCTGGGACAAAAGGAGAGAGTAATTCATTAGGGATGCAAGGCTGGTGGGGTCAGTTTGGGAAAGAGGTCAGGAAAAGGTAGATTAATAAGGATCCCCGGCCTGGGCTCCTGCAAAAATACCTTACCATACCCATCAAATCCTATAGCCAGGTGAGCTTCCTTTCCTCTGGGCCCACCCTGCCCCTCCCAAGTTCCCTACCCCTTGCCACCTCTTGGGTCCCTCTCCTCACCTGACCCTGAAATCAGCTCCAACAGCCTCTCTAGATGCCATTTCAGAAGCTCAGTTGGGTCCCTTGTGCTGCAAGGCCCTTCCTGGGTCAGCCTGGCAATTTCCCAGCTCTCAGGAGGGGCCTATCCTCACCCAAAGGGAGGACCTGCCCTCTGGTCTCACCTCCTGTGGGGAGTAGGCACGGGGTGTGCACACAGGCTGGGCTTAGAAGCGATCGCTTCAGAATCCATAGCTGGCCTGTATACCCACAAGAATGCTTTCTTCATGAACCTCCAACTCCAGGGAGTGAGGCACAGTGCTCACCGTGTTTCAAGCGGGCGGGCTGCGGGAGAGATTGTTCCCTGCAGGGGCCGGGGAATCCCACACTGGGAGGGAGCTGCGCCACCTAGTGGGCCTTTTCCTCCTTGCAGGCGTTCCTCCCACGCGTCGCTGCGCGTAGCCTAGATACCCCGCAAGCTCGCAGGCGAAACCCAAACGGCTCTAAGGCTTGACCTGCCCTCGTCCTCCAGGCTTGACGCAGCTCGGACAGGAAAAAACTGAGGGAATTTGGGAGGAAGATGATCACGTACTGGCTGAAATTTGAGGCAGTGGGGAAGCCAGCAGTGGACTTCGGCCTGGAAACAGTCTCTCCCCGTTATGGCCACAGATATGGGTGCCACACATATGGCCCAGGGCCCCTGCTCCTCTGCCTACCCCTCTTTCCTTGAGGCTGAGCAAGGCTGGGGTCAGCTCTACTAATCAAGAAAGAGCTGGCACAGGCTAAGGCTGCTGGCTTTCCTCTGACGTCATAGCCTGGAAATCCCATTTTAAGCAGGTTCTCCGGATGAGGGACACATAGAAGGAAGGGAGAGGGAGACAGCTGAAGCAGCTCCAGGCTTGAGGCCGTTCTAGCCGGAAACCTCAGGCCCGGAGGGCTGCCCAGTGTCCCCAAGGTGATCTGGCTGTGGGACAGGGCTAGACCTCAGCCCCCACTCCAAAGCTAATGATCCCTCAGTGCCCACTGGGGACGCAGGCAGTGACTGAGCACCCTCCACATAGCTCTAGCCACACACCTCTGTTCTGACCTCTCGACCCCACTCTCCTTGCCTGGAGGGATCTGCTGAGACGGAGGGGAGAGGGCAGGTGGTCCCAGGGGACGAGGTGGCAAGGGCTCACCTAGACCCAGACGTGCTTCACCAGCCTCCTCCGGAGAGACTTCCCACTCATTCTTTTTGTCACCCTCCATCTCTCTTCTCCTTCCCTGCACCACAGTGGCCAGGCCCTGTGCCAAGTTCTAGGAGAATGATTGTTTCCATGGCAACGGACCAATGAGCTTAGAAATCTGAGCATGTTCCTGTTGACACAGGGAAACCCAGATGCGCATGGAGAGCCTGGCAGTGCAGAATCTGGGGTGACCTCCTTAGCTACCAGTCACTGTGTGCGTGTGTGTGCGTGCGTGCGTGCGTGTGCGTGTGCGTGTGTGTGTGTGTAATGCAGTAAATGGGATTTAGGTTGGAGAGGGCCTAACTCACTGGCCATATGGCTAGTAGCTGCTAGCATGAGACTGTAGCATCTTACTCTCTGGAGATCTAGAACAAGAGAGTCTCCCCCCTGAATTCTACCCTGACACTTCCTCTCCTTTCTGATAAAGGGGCACATTTGCTCAGAGGCCAATGGCGAAAAGACTGTTCACTGGGGGATTCCAGGGAAGATGAAAGAGGCTTTTCCCACCTCACCGGCCCTGCAGCCTCAGTCCTGACTTTCCTGAGCTGGGCTCATGTGTGGCTGGACATACCCCTATGCTACCAGGAAAGGAAGAGAAAAGCCTGGTGCAGGGGCAGTTTGCCAACCTTGGGGCCAGGGGCTGGGGCTAGGTCCCCGCACTCCCCACTCCAGCCCATGCTCTGCCTCCTCCATTTTCCTTCCAGGAGACTGAGCTGCGCTTTCTCTGCTCCCTTCTCCCTCCCTCCTCCTCCCCTCTATCTCTCCCTCTCTGTCCTTTTCTTTTCTGATGCTGCTTCAACGCCCCTGCCATTCTTTCCCTTCTCCCGAGTTCTGCCTTCCAGGGTCTCATCCCAGCCAATTGTACCCCTTGGTCCCTGATGGCCTTGGCTCTACCTCTCAAGGGCTCAGTCCCCATGTCCTGCAGTCTCCCTCCTGTCCTCCAACCTAGCCCAGCAGCTCAGAGCACAGCCCCTCCCTTATGGGGCCACATGCACTGCTTCTTTAGCCCCAGTCTTGGGTACCTGTCTCCTGGTTGGTTCCCAGGGTCAGAGATGAACCTTGGGGCTGGTTCCCATTGTCACCTTTCCTCAATCCACCTCCTTTCAGAGTCTCTGGCTTACAGCCCCCCCTCTAACATTTTTTAGCCTTTGTAGCACTTTTTAGCCTATGGCCATCTGACCTTCCAGCCCTGCCTGGGAGGCCTCATGGGGCCTTTGTCCCCAGAGCTTACACCTGGCAGGAGGTACCAGAAAATCGATTTGGGGAGGGGTCTCAGGGCAGGAGGCCCTAGGAGGTTGAGGCCCCTACCCCTTCTTAAGTCCTGACCCCTGTTGGTCCCCTGACTCTATCTTGAACCCAAAACCATTTCCCCAGAGCTCCTGGTGTTCACATTCTGACCTCTTGTCCCCTCCCTCCCACAGCTGAGCCCTGCTTCTCACTTCAGGCCCTTCCCACCTAGATCGGGGTGGGGCAAGAACAAAGCACAGAGGCCGAAATTAATGAAGTGCCAGAGTTTGGTTTATTGGCTCATCCAGTGCCAGAGGTCCAATGAGCATCCACTCTCCACTGAGTTGGGAGCCCCTTGGCTCCTAAATGCCTTCTCTCCTTCGCACATTCCTCCTGGCTGACTGAAATCCCGGCAGATGCTGGGGCAGGGTGTGGAGCAGAGGCTGGGCTCTCATGGGTCTGCTCACATGGGGCCTAGTCTGCTTGGCACAGGAAGAGGACCCTGGGGGAAAGGAGGACCGGCCTCTGGGTGTGGAGAAAAGCAGCTGGCTCAGCAGGGGCCTCTATAGCGGGCCCTGAGGGGCAGAGGAGCCCAGTGCACGGACAGGGCAGGAAAGGAAAGAGGCAAAAAAGAATTGAGGACAGAGGAGGAGGTGAGAAGCCCCTCGGGAGCTCCACTGCCTTGTGGGCTGTAGTCCTCTGAGGCTCAGAGACGAGGAGGGAGGGCTGAAGGTGGGGGATCACTGCTGGAGGGAAAGTCCTTTACCCCAAATCCTCCCAGCCCTAGCCCCAGAAATACACACACACACTCATATGCACACCCCTGGAACCCCACCTCTTTTTAGTGGGGACATGTAGCACACAGTTCATCCAATGTCCCCAGCTACAGTTCCAGCCTGGCCACCCTGGTCATTTAAGCACACACTAAGCCCTGCGCTCCACTCACAGCTGTGGCCTGGAGCCCCTGCCCAGGTTCCCCGAGGCCTTCCCCACTCCCTCCCTCCCCCAGGTGCCTTCAGGCCTGTCTCTGGTCCATCTGGCCTATGACTGCCCCCCCACCCCCACCCCAAACCAAGGGAGAGCAGTAGGTGCACGTTAGGACCTCAGAGAAGCGGATGGCCATGGTTTTCAGCAAGGCACTGGGTGGGCAAACAGGACTGGAGTGGGGAGAACGGCAATTCAGGCTCTGAGGAGCCCCCACCTACTTGGGTGACTCAGTCCTCAGCTCCAGGTCCAGCCTCTACCTTCAACACACTCCCACCCCCAGCAGGGCTCTCTCCTCTTTTCCAACCCCTTCCAGAAAGTGGCCACTGGCCAGGCACCAGAAACAGCCATCTGAGGGGCCCTGGGGTCTGAGACGCATGGGCTATGAGCACAGTGTGGAGCAGGGGCTCTGCAGCCTGGGGGGTCGGGACCTCAAGCCGAGTCACCCCCGCCAGAGGTCTTCTTCTTGGGCCGGGTCTTCAGCGTCTTGGAAGCCACTGGCTATGGGAGGAGGGAGGAAGACAAGAGAGCGCTCAGCCTGGAGCCACAACCCCCTCCCCATCTCCCCAAGTTCTCGGCTCTCACCTCAGCTTTGGGCACTTTTTTGATGGATTTGACCCTCTTAGGGGCCTTGTCTCCCCCATCATCCTCAGAGGTCTCTGTCCGGGAATCTGCCTGGTTCGTGCTAGACCTTAAACTCAGGCCAGGGTCATCTCCTGGGTGTGGGGAGGAAAGGAAAATGGGTCGGGGTGTCCCTCCCACCTGGTCACCTCCTTGCCCTCATGCCCCACTGCCCAGCCTGTACCTAAGTCCTCGATGGTGTCCAGGAGGCTGCCAGGGCCAGGTCGGAGGCAGCTGTCGGGTCCGTGCAGGGGCAGTGTGTCCTCGGCCCGGATCAGGGTCAGGTCCTGCATGCTGAAGCTTCGCAGCTTCTCTGACAGCACCCCCTGGCCCTAGGATCACCACCACGCACCGGGGAGAACCAACCAGGGGAAGGGGCGGGGTGGAGAGAGAGGTCACCATGGGGCACTGGGGGGGCACTGGGAAGCCACTGGGCTCAGTGCCTTCCCCACACTATTCTCATCCAGTCCTAAGGTGGTACTGACAGGCTAGGGCCATACTTTCCCTTTGGATAGATGAGGAAACTGGCTCGGAGAGTGGAAGTCACTTAGCTGGAGTGTGGTAGAGCCAGGATTGGAACCCCAAGCTGCACAAGCCCCAAACCTTCCCAGCCCTGAGGACAGGTGGAAGCAGAAGGACCTAACCAGGGGGACGAGATGAGCAGGTGGGGCNAGCTGCACAAGCCCCAAACCTTCCCAGCCCTGAGGACAGGTGGAAGCAGAAGGACCTAACCAGGGGGACGAGGTGAACAGGTGGGGACCCGGGAGCTTGGGTCTGCCCCCATCTCACCTTGGCAGCAGCTGTGACCGCGGCATTGGCGGCCAGGTTGAGGCCCCTCTTGCCCACCCTCATCATAGTCTCATAGCTCTTGTCTCGGGCCTGTGTGATGTACTCATCGATCTCCTGAGGGGTCAGAGGGGAAGGAGGAAGGGGAAGGAGGTGGGGCAGGCCCTCTGAGCCAGGCCCTGCCCTGCCCTTGTTCACACCTGGACAAAGGCACTGCCTGCTGCAGAAGGCCAGGGCCCGGCCAGGTCACCTCAGGTTCTGGGGGGCCAGGAATGTATGTGGCTGCAGGCATGGGGCTACTTTGGCCTGGGGTGGGCTGGGAGGCAGAGTGGGGGCAAACCTTCTCCTTGTTGGACAGTGTCGGGTGCACGAACTTGCGGTAGAGCACGCTGGAGCCCTTGGTATAAGGGGACAGCAGCCATATCACAAAGGCGATCTTGAGCTCAAAGTAGAAGGGGAACCTGTTGTGGGGACAGAGGCAAGTGGCAGAGCCCGGGGCAGGGAGTCAGGTGGTGTGCTGATGCCCCGCATGACGCTGGCCAGCCCCCACCCCCTAGTGCATTGGGGTCCCCATGTGGCTTGGGAGACTGGTCATTTTGAATCTCAAGGGGACTGAGAAGCTCAGCTGAGTTTTTTTTTTTTTTTTTTTTAATATATCTTTATTGATTTTAGAGAGAAGAAAGGAGGGGGAGAGAGAGAGATAGAAACATCAATGATGAGAGAGTCATTGATCAGCTGCCTAGCCCGCAACTGGGGCATGTGCCCTCACCCGGGAATCGAACCCTGATCTCCTGGATCCTAGGTCTATGCTCAACGCCCGGGGGCTCAGCTGAGATTCTAATGGGAAGGTGAANCATGTGCCCTCACCCGGGAATCGAACCCTGATCTCCTGGATCCTAGGTCAATGCTCAACCACTGAGCCACGCCCGGGGGCTCAGCTGAGATTCTAATGGGAAGGTGAAAAGTGAGCCCAGTGGGAGTTCCCCTCAGCAGTGGCTCCCAGCCCTGTCACCCTGACAGAAGAACCCCTACTCCTCTGTCCTGGGGTCAACACCAAGGCGTGCTCCCTAACCTTCTGGGCCTACTGTGTTCTCACCCCCTTTGCTCCCTTTCCTCCCATGAAGACAGGGCCTTCCCCAGCTGTGCTCTGGATCCTATCCCTTGCTGCCAAGACATGCCCCTTGCTTTTAGGGATTATTCTCCATTCGCCACGGTTTCCCTTCTCAGGTCACAAACTCCTTCAGGCATGTCTCTGACATCCTCACAAAGCCTCCATCAGAGCTCTCTCCTTTGCCTGTGTTAGTGAAGAGGCAACTACACTCACTGCCCTCAGTTTTCAACCCGCTTTCCTTCCTCTGCTAAAACTGTTTTTCTCATAGGCGCAGGTCCTGGAATAACATTGTTCCACTCAACGTTGTTTTGTTATAATGCAGATGAGCTGCTGTAGAAACTTAACTCTTAGTTATATCAATTAGCCTGTGGTAAAGCTGGTTTCACTTAAAGTTGCAGAACCTATCCACGATGTTAAGTGAGGCTTACTGTAATCTACAATAGCAAACATCTTTTGATCTCTCCCTCTCCCTAAAACTCTCCTCTCTTGACTTTCAATGCGCTGTGTGCGCTATGCTAGTTGTCTCTTACAAGACGCACCTGCCCATTCAATAAACATTTTTGAGCTCCTGCTGTGAATATATAGATGATTAAGACATTCCCTCCCTTGTCCTCACAGTGTTCTTATGTAGTCTAGTAGTGTCTGGAAAATGCCTTTGAGTACAAGCATCCAATGTGTATAGGACTGAATCATTTACAAATAGAGAAACTGAGGCCTAGAGAGCTGTGACCTGCCGAAGGTCACAGGAAGTCTGGCAGAAACAGCTTTCCTGAAGTCTACTGTGGTGCTTTGGATGCCACCAGAAAGGTATTCTGCTGATCAAGCTAGGCCTGGATGGGGTGGGGATGTGGCATCCAGAAACCCATAGAACTGTGGTCTCCACCCTGGGTCTCAATCTTCTGTTGGGCTGGCTGGGCGGAGAAAGCCAGAGGCCCTGGACCCCAAGATGCAGGGAGGGGATGCTGGACCTCACCAGGAGAGCACGATATCCGTGAGTGTCTCAGCTGTAGTGAAGAAGGCAAAGACGATCCAGTACATCATCCATTTCACCTGAGGGTGCAGAGGGCGGTGTTGGCTGGGGCCTGAGGGGCCTCTGCTGCCAACTATGCTGGGTGTTCTGAGGGGAAAGGACACTCAGGACCTCAACTTTGCCTGAGGGTCACACCCGGGCAGGGGGAAAGGAACACACAGGAATCTCCTTTGAACCAGGGTCTCATTAGTGCCAAAAGCATCGGTTCAAAGTCACCCCCTATCTATAATGTGACCCACTGTCCTCCCCTCTCTCTGCCACATGANGGAATCTCCTTTGAACCAGGGTCTCATTAGTGCCAAAAGCATCGGTTCAAAGTCACCCCCTATCTATGTGACCCACTGTCCTCCCCTCTCTCTGCCACATGAGTTGGGTGGGAGCTGAAGGGTCATACACTCACATATTCCTTCACGTTTTTTGTCTTCACGGCTTTGTAGGAAGAATAGGCTGGGTACAGGGTGCCAAAGATGAGCCTAGAAAGGCAGGCATGGTTACTGGGCCCCTCGGCCAAGAGCAGTGGCCTCTCCCTCCCAGCTCTGCATCAATCCCTGGGTAGGTTACAGGAGCTGGATTGATGAACTCGGGACTCAGAAGATGCACAAGCATGGAAGTCACAGCCAGCTAAGGTGATATCCCTTCCTCCCTCTATCGTTGGTTTTTTCTCCAGGCCCTGAGACACAGAAAGACCCAGAGGCCAGAGGGTCCAATGTGGTCCCTTCGGCCATGATCCTTGGTTATGCACAAACATATACGGGGAGTGGGGGTCTAGTCGCTGCCTTGACGGTGTCTTCCTTCTCCAAACGCCATGTCCCTTACCCTCTGCCTCCCTGTCTCACGGCCATGCTGGGAAGGGCCAGGTCTGCAAGGGAAGCCGACACTGTCTAACAGGGCCCTCCACCTGGCAGGCAGGGGCACCGCTGGAGCCCTGGGGAGCAGAGGGCATAGGGGCAGGAGGCCCGCCAGGGGCAAGAGGTTTATTCCCCCATGTACGCACTCTTGGGGCCAGCCTCGGGGAGGGCCCTGGACCCGAGGCCCTGGCTGGAGTGGACCTGGTGGTGATGCCATTAGCGAGCACATGCAGGCTCAGGGGAGGCGCTCAGAGGACTCGCTCCTCCGGGGCTCATCCAGACAGGAGAGAAGCAGCCGCTCCCAAGGCCACATGAAATGAGGCCCCTGGGTTCCCTCTGGGGTGGGATGGGAGAGGGAGGAAGGAGAGTCCGGTCTGGAGGCAGCCAGGACGCAAGCCCATGACAGCGCAGAACTGGGAAGAAGGCAGCAGGGAGGGGGTTCTGGGTGTCAGTCCCCCGTGGCCGAAGCTGAGGGCCAGCGTCCTGAGGGGGCAGGGCTTGGCCGAGGCTCCGTGGAGCCGGGGGAGGCCCGGCCCCTTGAAGTGTGGGGTACCGCCCGTTCCACATGGACCCCCTGCCTTGTGGAAGCGGCACACGTCCCAGCTGGCCTGTGGAGACGGGGGGCGGGTGGCATCCTCAAGGACGGGGGGTTGTGGGCGCAGGGTTCCCTCCCGGAGCCTGGGGGAGGCGGCAGTGCCCCNGTGGGAGGGAGGAGGCCCCGGCTTGCTCCCCGCACTTCCATCAGCCCGGTCCCCGCAGCGAGGCGCGGGCCCGGGTCTGAGCGGCCGGGCGGGGGAAGGGACACGCCCGCCTCCCCCCGAAAACCCACCCGTGACGCTCAGCCCCTGCGATGCGGGCGGCGAAGGGGCAGGGAAATTAAAAATAAAAGGGGTGCGGAGCCGGGCCTGCCAGGCTCCTCAGTGTTCCCCCCACCCCGTCCTGGGTCCCACACCCCCAGGTCTCTGGGGACCCCAGACAGGGACGACGTGTCGAGGTGACTGCGGTTTGAAGCCCGCAGGGGTGCTCCCCGAGCTGCGGTACCCCTCGGCCCCCCCGCGGCACTCACACCACCAGGCGGGAGATGATCCAGGACACCATGGCGCGGGCGCGGGGCGCGGACCGCCCGGCGAGGA